GTTCTTGGTTACCTTGTTATCTTCTGGGTGCTTGAGACAGATTCCTTGATGACATGTTCCAGAATCTTTCCAAGTGTTGCGTTTAGACTTACTGACCTGTAATTCCCTACATCCTCCTCCTTTCCTTTAAAAAAAAAAAAAATGGAAATCAGATGGACATGGTTCCAGTTTTCTGGAATGTTATCTGATTTCCATGAATTGTCAAGAGTCAGCTTTTTGGTGGACAAATTGTATTATCGGTCACCTAAGGAGTTATAGTTTGTGTTGATACTGATTTATTCCAGTGGTAGAAGACAACAATGTCTATGTGTGGTTTTTTTTAAATAAAAAAGTCTGTGGTTTTTTTTAAACTTTATTTACGTTTTCTAATGGAAACACTGCAGAGCTTCACAGCTGTTTGTTTTTCAATAGTTGCTGCTTTGTAGGACTGCAAACAGCCAGTGATTTTGTCAGAGAAACAGAAATTGCCAAATATTTGGAGACAGGGCTGTAAGAGTTGGTCTGTATTGTCTCCTGCTGCACCTAGGAATGCTGCCAAGAAAAACACACTGCCTGCTTGCTCCCATTCTGTGTCAGCTCCTAGAAATGAGGTGATGTGGCCACTTCAGAGTGGTGCTGACTCTGCTCCTCATGTTGCTTCCCAGCTTCCTGTCTTGGGCTTGTTTATTAGCAGCATGTTCAGTGCTGCTTTAATTACCCTACATTGCCTCACATCTGGGAGTTTCTATTCCCAGAATAGGAGAACAGTTCTCCCAGGAGAACAGGAAATTCTCCACAGAATTTCCTGGCTTGGCCTAGAGCCAGTGTAGGCATATCTTAAATGGGAATGGTCAAAACATAAATGTTCCTCTGTTAATCATAGCCAACCAATACTTAAACCCCATGTTTAACTAGACTCCAAAGTGAGGGGGAGTTTGCTAGGGAGCTTGCCTGGAAACTTTCCTTCACTATAAGCAGGCTAGCAGGGAAAAGGGAACCTTTCAGGATCAAGGAGCAGCAAACAGGCCAGCTTGCAGGGGAGTTTGGTAGGGAAGGTCTGCTTGGAAAGAAGAGCAGGAAGAGAGAGGTTGCGGATTAAGAGACCCAGAGAAATAACTGGAAGACATTGCAATACCAGAGCCATTGCCAGTTCTTCCTCTGCTTGCACCTCTGAGTTGTCTGTGTAGGTTGAACTGCTCACTGTCGAGCCTTCCACCCAGGTCCTGGTTTGGTGCTGTCGAGACTGCAGTTTCCAGTGACAACCAGGTGGGGGAGTGCTTGTGATGTGAGTGATGCCTTGTGGTGGTGTCCCTCAGGGACCAGGCAAGAGAGCTACAGGAGGAAGTGGCAAGGCTCTGAAGCATCCTCTGCCATGAGGACATCATCCATTCAGTTCTAGAGGAGACTTCTAGGACTGCAGAGGAAGGACTGCCAGAGGCAGTGCTAGAGAAAGAAGAGGGCATGGATTCCAAGGAAGGTGGATGCTGAAAGCTTGTGATCTTTGACCCCAAGCAGAGATCTCCACCTGCAGTAATTTTCCTGGAGAACAGATATGGAGCCCTTCCCATTGGTGGAGGCCAGGCTGGGCATCCCTAAGGTTGGGAGCATTGAGAGCACTGCCACTAAGAGGAAACAATGGGTGCGTGGTTGGAGGGTTCTTTTTGTGGCAGGTGGAGGAATCCCATGCTGCTCATCCATGTGGGCACCAGTAAAACTGAGCAAATCAAAAGTGATTATAGGGCTCTGGGTGGAAGGGTGAAGGGGGCAAGGGCTCATGTGGTGTCCTCTTCGATCTGTCCAGTCAAGGGGAAGGGCCCAGCCAGAAGCAGATGCATCCTGAAGATCAGTGCATGGCTGTTTAGATGGTGTTGCCAGCAGGGATTTGGCTTCATTGACCAGGGGATGTTGTTCAAAGAAGGACTGCTAAGAAGAGACAGATCCAGCTGACAGAGGGAAGAGCATCTTTGTAGACAGGCTCACTAGCTTGGTGAGGAGGGCTTTAAACTAGGTTTGCTGGGGAATGGAGATCAAAGCCCTAAGGTAAGTGGGGAAGCAGGTGACCTGAAGAAAACACAAACAGGAGTGGGCAACAGGCAAGGCTTTTAGTCTTACTGAGGAAGTAGAGCAATAGGCTAATTACCTCATGAATGCATAGAGCCTGGGAAACTATCAGGAAGAATTGGAAGTCCTTGCATAGTCACAGAACTATGACATGATTGGAATAACAGATCTGGTGTGGGCTCTCTTACATGATTGGAGCACTGTCATGGATAAACATAAGCTGTTTAAGAAGGACAGGCAGGGGAGAAAAGGAGGAGGAGTTGCACTGTACGTAAAAGAGTTATATGATTGCTCAGAGCTCCAGTATGAAACTGGAGATAGGTCTGTTGAAAGTCTTGGTTAGGGTTAGAATGGAGAGCAAAAAGGGTGATGTCGTGGTGCGTGTGTGCTATAGCCCACCAGACCAGGAAGATGAAGTGGATGAGGCTTTCTTCAAACAGCTAGTGGAAGTTTCCCGATCACAGACCCTTGTTTTCATGGGGGACTTCACTCACTCTGATATCTGCTGGGAGGGCAATATAGCAGTGCACAGGGAATCCAGGACATTTTTGAAGACTACTGGGGACAACTTCCTGGTGCAAGTGTTGGAGAAGCCAACTAGGGGCTGTGCTCTTGACCTGCTGCTCACAAGCAGGGAAGAACTGGTGGGGCATGTAGAAGTAGACAGCAACTTGGGCAGCAGAAACCACAAGATAACTGAGTTCAGGATCCTAAGGAAAGGAAGAAAAGAGACTAGTAGAGTCAGGGCCTTGGACTTCAGAAAAGCACACTTTGACTCTGCTGGGGGACTGATGGGCAGGATCCCCTGGGAGGCTAGTCTGAGAAGGAAAGGAGTCTAGGAGAGCTGGTTGTACATTACAAAAAAAAAAAAACCCTTATCAAGGGTGCAGGAACAAACCATCCCAATACACAGAAAGGCTAGTAAGTATGGCAGAAGACCAGTTTGGTTTAGCAGGGAACTCTTCAGTGAGCTAAAAACAAAAAGAAAGCTTAGAGGAAGTTGAAACTTGGATAAACGACTAGGGGGGAAGGAGTATACAAGTATTGCTCAGGCATTCAGAGATGAAATCAGGAAAAGCAAAGCACAATTGGAGTTGCAGCTAGCAAGGAATATGAAGGATAACAAGAAGGGCTTCTCCAAGTATGTCAGCAACAGGAGGAAGATCAGAGAAAGTGTGGGTCCCTTACTGAATGGGGGAGGCAACCTAGTGACAGATGATGTAGAAAAGGCTGAAGTACTCAATGGCTTTTTTACCTCAGTCTTCACAGGCAAGGTCAGCTCCCAAACTACTGCACCTGCCACCACAATTTGGGGAAAAAGGTGAGCAGCTAACAGGTTCATAGCCAAGTAGTGAAAGAGCAGGTTAGGGACTATTTAGAAAGATGGATGTGTACAAATCCATGGGGCTGGACATGCACCCAAGGGTGCTGAGGGAGTTGACTGATGTGATTGCAGCCACTGGCCATTTATCTCTGAAAACTTGTGGTGATTGGGAGAGGTCCCAGATGACTAGAAAAGGGCAAATATAGTCCCTATCTTTCAAAAAGGGAAGAAGGAAGATCTGGGGAACTACAGACTGGTCAGCTTCATCTCAGTCCCTGGAAAAATCATGGAGTAGGTCCTAAAGGAATCCATTTCTAGGCACTTGGAGGAGAAGGTGATTAGGAACAGTCATCATAGATTCACCAGGAGCAAGTCATGTCTGGCCAACTTCTATGATTAGATGACTGGCTCCATAGATGCAGGGAAAGCAGTGGACATGATATACCTTGATTTTAGCAAGGCTTTTGATATGGTCTCCCACAATATTCTCGCCAGCAGGCTAAGGAAATAGAGGTTGGATGAATGATCTGTAAGGTGGATAGAAACCTGGCTGGATTGTCTGGCTCAGAGGGTAGTAGTCAATGGCTTGATGTCTGGTTGGTAGCTGATATGAAGCAGAGTGCCACAGGGTTTGGTCCTGGGGTTGGTTTTGTTAAATATCAACAACCTGGAAGATGGTATAGAGTGCACCCTCAGCAAGTTTTCAGATAACAACAAGCTGTGGGGAGTAACAGATACACTGGGAGGGTAGGGCTAGGATTCAGAGAAACCTCGACAAATTGGAGGTTTGGACCAAAAGAAATCTCATGAGGGTTGATAAGGACAAGTCCTGCATATTAGATAGAGCAATCCAATGCCCTGGTACAGACTGGGGACTAACTGGCTAAGCAGCAGCTCTGCAGAAAAGACTTTGGGGCTACAGTGGACAATAAACTGAATATGAACCAACAGTGTGCCTTGTTGCCAAGAAAGCTCACAACGTGCATACATTAGTTGGAGCATTGCCAGCAGATCAAGGGAAGTGATTCTTCCCTTCTATTCAGCACTGGAGGTCACATCTGGAGTTCCAAATCCAATTTTGGGCCCCCCACTACAGAAAGGATGTCAATAAATTACAAGGAGTCCAGCGGAAGGCCACAAAAATGATTAGGGGGTTAGGGTACTTGACTATTGAGGAGAGGCTGGGAGAACTGTGATTATTTAGTCTAGAAAAGAGAAGACTGAGTGGGGATTTAACAGCAACCTTCAACTACCTGAAATGGGGTTCAAAAGAGGATGGAGCTAGACTGTTCTCAGTGGTGTCAGATGACAGAACAAGGAGCAGTGCTCTCAAGTTGCATCAAGGGAAGTTTAGGTTAAATATTAGGAAAAATTTTCTCACTAGGATGGTAGTAAAGTACTGGAATAGGTTACCCAGAGATATTGTGGAATCTCTATCTTTTGAGGTTTTTAAGACCAAGCTAGAGCTTTGGCTGGGATGATATAATTGGAAATGGTTCTACTTTGAGCAGGGGATTGGACTAGATGACTTGCTGAGAACCCTTTCAATCCTAATTTTCTATGATTCTATACACCTCCTATTAAGTCATCTAAATATTTTTTCATTATATTGTCCCTTTTGTGTTTCCATTTATAGGTGTGCAGAATTATTAATTATGTACCAGGCTGATGTTAATTATGCTGCTGAAAGAGGACAGACACCTCTCTACCTGGCCTGTAGAAATGGAAATAATGAATGCATCAAACTCTTGCTGGAAGCTGGAGCAGATCGAAGTGTGAAAACCACTGTAAGTTTAAAAAAATATATTAAGCTACAGTATGACTATAGAGCTGAATAACTACAAAATTAAGAATGTTTCACATGGAATTCTTCAGTCATCTTTAGCATCCAGTATATTTAAGACTTTTGAAATGACTTTTCCATATTGCTTCATGCCACTGTTTTCTTCTTCTTTAGGCTGCATATTTTCCCTAAAGAAGTCACTTAACTGTACATTAAGCCTTACAAATCTTAAATTCACTGTGCAGCTTCTTGCCTACCGTGTTCTTGGATAGGACTATAGAGACAGAGATGAACCCATCCACTTAACATGCTTTCTGTTGCAGTGTAATACCTCCAATGCAAGGCTTTTGGATGTTTTATCTGATAGCAGATCATTGTTGTCCTTGCAGAAAGCATGTTTTTGAGAAAGACAGTAAGAGAAATTCTTTTAGATAGACAATTAACACAAAAGAAAAAAGATGCTAAAATGAAAGTCTGTGCCAATATGAGATGGACAGCTTTTAAATGAAAAGATAGGCATCCCCATGTTTAGATGTGACTGACTATTGCTTAAAAATGTGAATGCTGATGTATGTAGGATTTGGGCTGTTCAGAAATACTAGTATGTAGGTAGGTTTGAATATATTGCAACCTTTAAAATACATTCTGGTTCCTGATTATTTTTATGGTGAGTATTTTTGTAGAAAGTTAACTTAATTGGTTTTGAAATCAAAGGAAGCAGTGATGCAAAAAAACCCACCAGGCAACAAGTTGCTTTATGGCAGCATGCAGCAGGGCATGTTATTAATTGCATCTCTGATTCACATTCATGGAATGGAGATAATCCAAAGAATTTGAACCCCCAATATCACTACTGAAAACCTTGCCCACTCCCTTCAGAGTGCTCCCCATTTACTCAGTATTGCATTTGTGCTGCCATTGGAAAAATGTATAGAATGTGTTCCCACCTCTGTGGGAACTGCTTCCCTACTTAGTGTCCCAGGTAGTCAAGTCTGTGAACCCAGCCCTTTCAGGTAAACAGTCATTGTTAAAACAGCCCTGAAGCACTCTTTGTTGTAAGGGGTGTATGAAAATAGCCATTGTGTTCTGTTCTTGGGGGGAGCATGAAAGGGTGGAAGGTTCCTTGTGTTGTGTTCTTTGTGCCATGTAGTCAAGCCCCATTATGAAGGGGTGGTGATAATTGAGCAAATAATAATTTAAAAGTTACATTTTGAGAGCAAAAACTGCAACACCTTAAATAGTAAACTTTTTTTCTATTTTTTCAATCTATTTCAAGGTGTTTCTCCCTTTAAAATTATTTCTCTGTGGCTGTCTATTTTAAAGAGGTAATGTTTTAGCCTTATTTTGCTAATAGTGACTACATTATAAAAGAGAAAATTATGGAAAAGTTGAATCAAATGAGCACAAGTCTGAGTCATTTTCATTCAGTGTTAAGGATAAATAGCAACAGGTTGGTAGCTAGGATCTTTGATTTCAAAAGGAAAGTCTGAAAAATTAAGGGAGGTAGATAATAAAATCAATTGGACTTAGGAGCTTAAGAGTGAAGGAGGCTTAGAATTTCAATAAGTAAAGGTGTAAAAGTTTTGATACCATTTTTGGTGTTAAGGAGTATACAGAAAGCTGTTAGAGGAAGCAAGGTTAAAAAAACAAACAAACTTGTCAGTCTAATTGGATGTCTTCAAAACATCCTCAGATAGATAGCAATAGCATATGTAGGGGACACCAGCCCCTGGCGCTGACTTGGTAAGGGTGCCAAAATAATCCCCTTCCCCATGGAGTCTGCACCCCAGCAGCAAGAGCAGCCTCACAGCATTGTTCTGGCAGCAGTCTGAGCTGCTATTGCTGCTGCTATCCAGAGTGGGTACAGCACGTGGCAGTAGCCAAAGCTGGGCACTATTTTTTATAAGACTTCTGTGCCCCGCTCCCTACAGTGTTTGCCCAAATTGCAAACCTGGCTTGTTACACCAAAAATAGACACATACAGATAGAACAGATGAGTAAGATAGGGTGTAAGCAGAGAGCCTACAAAAGGTATATCTTGGTGGCCAAAAGGTGCAAAGATAGCGAGAACTGCCAGTGGTCAAGCTGAGGTAGACCTTCTGAGACAATTTAAACAAATAGCAAAAGTTTATTTACCCATAACAATAATAATAATAATAATAATAATAAAACCACCAGAAGCATGACTCTGTTGTTGAAGGGAAAGAGATTGAATGAGGCCTTAAAAGTAAATAAATAATGTGGTTTTCAGAGTAATGACGGTACTAAACATAGGAGCAAAGGTAGGATGGGTAACTAAAATGAGAGAATGGAAATAATAAAAAAGGAAGCGGAAACAAAACTTGGAGAGTTTAATGTATTCAAATCTAGGGGACTTAATAATTTCCACCATAAAATACTGAAAGAATTGCCACATGAAATGGTAAATTGTATAGCAAAGATTTTAAATAAATCTGTTAAATTGACAGGAATGATACTGTGTGACTGAAGAATAACAAATGTAGCACCTTTTTTTACAAAAGAAAAAAATGGTTGGACTATTCCTTATCATAAACCCTTAGTTTAGGCTTCGTAGTATGCAATGTTTAAAATAAATTTGAAGGTAAATGTTAATTAAGATATGGAGGATGAGATGGACAATAGGATGAAATGCAGTCTTGATTTTACAAAAGTTACATTACATCCAAGTAACACAATATCTATCTTTGATAAGAGAACTTTCCCTAAACAAAGGAAATTTATAAAGCATTTGACACAGTGCCACAAAGGGCATCATTAGTTAAAATGGGAATTTATACAATAATTGTAAGATGGGCAAGAAACTGGCTAGCAGAAATCTAACAATGGGTTGCATTGAAAAGTGAGCTACCAGGCCAAAGGCGGTTCCTGGTAAAGTTCCTAAGGAACAGTGTTGGGACCCCTGTTTAATGTTTTTCAGTAATAATCTTGGCACAAAAAGACTGCAAGAGAAGAGTGCAATTTGTACTCTTAGTAATGACAAGAAGTTTCTAGGCAGGCATGGAAGTCAGTGTTATACAGAAAGCCTTGCATGACCACAAGAACTGGGGTGAAATTCCATTGTACAGTAAAATCTTTGTTATCCAGCATTCTACAAGCCGTAATACTCTATTCACTGGAATTTCTGTCCAGCCAGCCGTACACAAGGGAGGGGGGAAAGCTCTCACACGGCAGCCGCCACTGCCACCCACCCCCCTGCACTGCCGCTACTCCACATGCAGCCACCATCACCCCCCTGCTCCGCGTGTGGCTGCCACCACCTTCTCCCCCTCCGCTTCATCTTATCTGCCTCAGATAACTGGAATTTTTACATAACCGGCATCTGGCATTCCCCCTCATGCCAGATAACAGGGATTTTACTGTACCAAGTCCTGTCAGTAACAGGATCTTTTGCTATAAACTAGGAGTTTATCAATTGGAAATGACTGAGGAGGTGAAAGATCTGGGTGCATTGGTCACTTACAGGATGATTATGAGCCACTGATGAGATGTTCTAAGGCATCAACCCATGGGTCGCAACCCAAAAGTGAGTCACAAGAATACTTGAAAGGGTTTTGAATAGTTGTAGAAAAACATGGTAAAATGTGGGTTTCCTCTTGCAGGCTGGCAGCCTTCTAGCCTGCAAGGAGCTGCTTGGGGCAGTGGGAGGCAGAGGGGCACTCAGGCACTTGCACACACATTTGGCCGGCATACACCCAGGCATGGTAGCTGGATGCAGGCCACTCTACGGGGAGCAGGGGTTGGAGGGCCAGAGTTCAGGGGTTGTCTGGGAGGCTGTGGGGTGCTTGCCAGTGCTGGAGGAAGGTGTCCGGGTGCTGGGGCTGTGGCAAGGCAGCGGGGAGGCACCTGCCCCTCCAGCAGGGGAAGAGGGTGAGGGGGCCCTTCAGGGGTGGCAAGGGGCTGTATGGCCTGGCTGGTGCTACCAGGGCTGGTGCTCATGCTCCCAGGGGCCAGGTGTCCAGGAGACGCTGTCCAGGGTGGAGGGCAGTGGCCAAGCCCCCAGCACAGTGCAGAAGCCCCAGCCCAGGGCAGGGGCTGCCACAGGCCTCCCCTCCTGCTCCCTCCAGCCTGTGCCAGGGCAGGACTCTGTCTGCAATGCCCACACAAGCTGGAGCTGCCACAGGTATCGTGCTCTGACTCAGGCTAAATGTGGACAGCTGGGAGCCCCCTCCAGTGGGGGTTGTGGGTCGGGAGTGAGGGGTACTATCTTGGCTGGGAGGGGCTGTGGCTTGGGAGTAAGGGCTACTGGCAGGGCCAGGGAGCTGTGGCTTGGGAGTGAGGGGCACCAGCAGGGCCAGAGGACTGCAGGTCAGAAGTGGGGACCACCGGCAATTTACATTGTGCAAATTGCACAATGATAAGTGTCACTTGGGAGTAATGGAGTGCCAAATGTTGATATTTATGTTAATGTTTTCCTGTTGATGTTAATTTCTGTCTTTAAAATTAAGTCTGTTCATCTGCTTTAACTTGTAGTGTGTTATAAGTATTTTGGGGCCAAAAGACTTCTGTGTTTTCTACTTTAACTACTTACTGGGTCAGGACTGGCCATCAATGTTTACAAATGGGTCCTGGTACAAAAGTGGTTGAGAACCACTGCTGTATGGAAGGCAGACACACTCCTGGAATGTTTCTGATGAAGTATTTCCAAGAGAATGAGAGAGAGAAGTATTAGTACCATTGTACAATGCACTGGGAAAACTATGTGGAATATTATGTGCAATTCTAGTTGTCCATGTTCAAGAAAAAATAATTTCAACTGCGATATGTGCAGATGAGTGGTACTAGGATAATCGGGATTTGAAAGCCTGTCTTATGAGAGAAGATGAGAATGGTTAGGCTTATTTTACCTAACAAAATAAAAGGAGATGGATACAGTTTCTTTCAATATATCCAAGGGAAGTATCAAGAAAGAAGAGGAGGTTCTTAAACTGAATCAGAAACAAGTGGATATGAATAAATTTAGGCTGGAAATTAGAAGATTTTTAG